GAGCAGAACAAGAAGTAGCAACTACGGTCAGATCAAATCACAATGAATCCAATTTTTATGTTCACCTCTTGATAGTGTATATGCACGTTAAAGAGGTCACTGGATAGCAGATTCTTGAAAACTGTGGTGCAGGATATCTTCATATTTTAGTTATTTAAATTTACCTTATCAGTGAATGCTTTTTATCAGACAAGTTGGAATCCACGCTGCTGGGCTACTACAGAATGAAATGTTTTTCTGGCTTTTTTCCTCTGTGTTGCCAGCCTCGAGTGGACAGTGGTTTTCAAATGGCAAATGTAATAGGAACTTTCTTCAGAGATGGGTAAAAGAAACATCTGAACCTTCTGAGGGGATTACATTATGTCTTGCAGTAACTTTCCTAATTCTCAATCATTACATGTTGTATCTGCCAGTTGTTTTAATGCTCTGGTCATAGCAAAGTCATACAGACTGGGAGAGGTAAACCATATTTTTATTTTAACAATTTAGAAGACTTTGTGCATTATTCTACAAGAATGGTGGCACTGGGGTTCTTTAGCTTTAGTGGGTTGGCCTCCTTTTTTTCCCCTGTAAAAATGTATTAACTTATCGTGTACTTTGTTCTACTGACTTAGAGAAAGAGAAAATTTTTTTTTAGTCCCTCTTCCTCTGTACTGTCACTTTTGATTCACAGTTGCTAAGCATTGCAAAAGCTTACCAGAGGGACACTCTCATAGTGTGATTTGCAAACTTTGAAATAACACCCACCAGCAGAAGCACCATATGCTACGAAGTTGCACAGTAAACTGACAGCAGTATTTCATTTATAATTTGAATTTCCAAAAATGTCAGCATTTTTCACATCAACAAATGCCTCCCAGCTTTCAGTGCATGACTCTTGCCTCTGAGTGGACATTAAATTGTGCTAATTCTGCTTACATTTCTACAGAATTTATTAATGACAGCCGCATTAAAATCAATTCCCTTTTATTATGGTAAGTTGTGGTATTGAGACAAAATAAATCTGTGAATTTTCTGAAAGTGCAGATAAGTCACTGGGCTTATACACTATACAAATGTGTGTATAGTTTACAGCATGTGGACTTTGTGGCTCTTTGTAACATTGATAATCCAGTGCACCCTCTTTGGTAATAAAATAAAGTACCAAGGAATAGTTTTTTAATCAATCAAAGGCAAACTTCACATAAAACACAAGCTGTTCCCTTTGTGGTTAATTTTCATCCAGCTGTACTTAAGTACAACAGAGCCAGCAGAGAAAACTACTTGGCAACACTTCCTAATTAGGGGACGTTAATTACAGCTAAATACTATACAATTTCTATGTTATAAGAGTTCATCTAAATCAATGTTATTACGGCACTAAAGGAATTAATAATGATTTCATACTTAGAAGCTGTTGCCAAACTACCCATTAGTTCAGAGTTGAAAATGACTTTACAATGAAATCTCCAAATCCGCATTAGAGAGAACGCTGGAGCGTTCGCAGACAATCACACATGGCACTTCCATTGTGCATTAATAGCTGCGCCTGATGGCATCCCGGCTTCATGCCGGAGTGTTGACGGGCTGGGTGAGAGGGAGAGGGAGTAAAGGGCCCCGCCAGACGAGGCACACACATCCTCACAGACTGCGCGGGTGAGATCTCCCTCCTGAGGATGGAAACGGGTCCCTCCGCCCGCCGGGAGGCTCGATGGGATTTCACGGGGCGGGGGGACAGGCAAGACCCTCTGACAGAACCACGGACAGGTCAGGTCCTAATGGAAAAATACAACCTGGGGGTGTGTAGGGTGGGATCAGAGCACCCGAGTTTGTTGAGGAGCACGGCTGGCTCCCAGGACACTGTTTCAGACATGCCCCTGTGTTTAGGATGGAGAACTTGTTACTTGCTAAAATGTCCTTCGCTGCATCTACTCCTCTTCGTGCTTTAAATGCAGCACAAGGATTAAATCACTTTTTGTTGCATCTTGCATTTCTAGCAGCAGCTGCCTTGTAAAAATTACGGCTTAGCATTTCTAAATCAAATCCAAATCAGAAAAAAAAGAGGAACATTAACCTACTGTGCAGACAGGGAATTTCTCCCAGGTTATTTCTTACTGGATAGGTGTCCACAGGTGCCTATTACTGTCATAGCAATCCCTGCTCAGCAGCCTTGTCAGTAAAATGGGAAGAGAGATCAAGACCAGACTGGATGCACTGAGCAAACAAACACCTGGTCTGTACAGAGGAGGGGAAGCTACGAGTCTGCAGTGCCTCAGCTCAGGCTCTGCAAGGAGTAATCCTGAATGGCTTAAAGCCCTCTTTGTGCTTACTCAATTTGAGACAACTCCAGTGCCTCCAGTTTCCTTCAACACAATTTGTACAACCTAAAGCACTCTCCCTGTGTTCCAAGAGCTTGTTGGTCATCTCCCCCATCTGAGCTATTGCTACCCTGGGAAACACCCTTCATTTCTAGTGTCACAGGGAGCTTCTCCCTCACTGTTCAGCTCCTTTTTTTCCTATTCTGCCTGTTTTTGTTCAGCATGGTGGATGAGGAATGATACGTACAAAGAGATACCTGAATTTGGTGGGTGGCAGAAGGGAGTTGCTTTATAACATCATTGGTTTATTTCTGAGAGATGGACAGAGAAAGATTTGTGTTGTTGCAGGGGAAAGCTTCTCAATTTGTATGTTTTAGAGCAAATCAGGATCAAAGCAGGTTATTGACTCATTAATGGTATGTAATTAACAGGCAATCAGTGAATTACAAATCCAGGGTCAATATCAGCAGTGCAACAGATAAACCATAATACCAGATGCTTACAAGACGTAAATAAACTCTTGCAAATTCAAGAAAGGCCTTCCACAAGTAATCCCCAAAGATTTTAACCCCATGTCCTCCCATCACCCCATGTGAGGGACCCCACAAGGTTGCATATGTTGTTCAGGTTCCCATGTGTTGTGCCCCACACTTTCAGTCCACTCATGGTGTCCATGGGGGAGGAGGCACTGCCTGGTCTTGATGGGGTGGGGATGTGAGTGGCTCCCCCAGAAAAGGGTGAAAGAACCTTGCAGGAGTTTAATACCCAGCAAAGGAAAAGTCATGCTCAGCAAACACACACAGAGTTTGATAAGACAGCTCCTGAGCAGCTGGCTTTGAAGAGCTGACCTCCAACCAAGTTATAAAAGTTGTTTTGCTGCACTGCCCCAGGACAGGAACATCAAAAAGATCAGTAGACAGATGCAAAATTAACCCTTTCTAAGAAGTCAGCTGTGGGAACAGGTGGAGGAAAGGTTTTTAGTCCAATACAGGTATCCACAGTCACCTAAAGAAGATGGGCAGCACTGGGAGATGTGCAAGCCTTTAACTGAAACCACCACCCATGCAGACTACATTTTTTAAAATTTCGTTCCAGCTGTGGTCAGAAGCAGTAATGACCAGACAGGCTTGCTAATCCAGATGTATCCAAACCAGCTGGCCCTGCTGGATATATGTGCATGGTAGCCCACATGGGACACCCCAGTGACACCCCAGAAGAACAAGAGGTATGAGGCCAAGTGCTGGAAGGCATGTCCAAAGCTGAAACCAGGACACAAGCAAAGCAAAGGTGGCTTTGTGTCCATGGCCCAGGGTGCCACTGGCTTGGGGCAGGATTAACAGACATGCCTGTATCTTGGACATACCAGATATCCAGACTTTCACCACTGCTGTTCCTCAGATAAGCAAGAGAGCACTCTGCCTGCAAACCACAGTCCTTCACCTTTCGGTTCATAGTGAAAGCACTTTTTAAGAAAACATATCTACACCAGTACTAGAACTGTATTTTAGTGAAACATTTAGCAATATTTACACTAGAAGTACACTAACAGATAGTGCTGCATCTTTTTATGTATGGAGCAAAGGGCTGACTTGCAACAGACTGCTATTTTGATAAGAATACCTTCTGCTTGGGAACTACTCTTAAGTTTATTTTTCAAGTGTTATTCCAAATCCATGTTATAAAATGTTTATACGTGCACTTAGGAGCATGGTTATGGTATAGATGTAAAAGGAAAAAAAAACACCCCACAACTGATGTCTTTTCTCATACTTAAGATGTCAGAATGGATTTGCAGTTTTCTCACCCTTGGGCTGTGCAAAGCCAACCCTCACAACATGGGGGATGCTGCTAAAGTGCCCATATGCCCTGCAACCTCCAGCACACTTCCGTGGTGCTCACACCCACAGGGTAGCCCAAGAAATCCAGAGGGAAGCAGAGTGGGTCTGTCACCTTAAGGATGTGAAAGATGTTCCTGTGACAATAAAAGCATCCCTAAGTGCACCTCCAATCATAAATCATTTTCAAAATTGCTCCTGGCTTTTTAATTTCTTTCATTTGGAGGATTTATAGTGCTCTGATGTGCCAGAATGTTTATTCCATGGGCTGCCCGTCATGTGGCACCCCATTGGCAAAGTACCAGGCTCTGGTCCACATTAATCTAAAACTCTGCAATGATCATCTGCAGTTTCTAATAAATGACTGATAACTCCGTGTGTAACTCTTACAGTGATTAAAGTTAACATCAGCACAGAGTGCAGGCTGTTTCAGCTGCTTTTTGACGGCTATTTGCCATTCTCCCTTTTCAGTATTGCCATCACTGAAACAAAAAGCTTCTTGTTTGAAAATTATTTATGGAGCGTTGCAGTGCTTTATAAGATTTTCATACACCACTCTGTGGGCTGGTATCCTTTTGGATTAGAGTGTACTCTGAATTTCAGACCATGGATGAGAGTGACTTGATTTCTTTTCATAGTTTGCAGCTCCAGAAATGTCCATGAATATGTATTCTGTCTTTTGACATTCCTTTGTGCCGGCTTTTGGGGAAGGCTGTGCAGAATCAGAGAAATCAAAGATGGAGTGGACCCACTAGACCATCCAGCTCATCTGCCTCCCCATGCAGGCTGGTGCTTTCTGAACGAAGCTGTCTTCTTGTGTTCGGTTGGGTCCCAGCTGAGGGGCTTCTGCTGCCTCCCCGGTGGGCTGCCAAACAACCTCAGACAATGACTTACAGAAAGACCTGTTGGCACTCACCCTTAATTTCCCCCATGTTATTTTTGCCTGGTGTGCCTGACATAAACACAGGATTTTGCATTAAGCCATTCTCCTCCATTGCCAGCATTCACATTTACCTTCATCCACGTGGCATTGCCTGTTCTCATTAGTGACATGCAAAGGCACTGGCCAGGAACCACAACACACCTCAGGAAGTGCTGTGTGAAAACAGAACAAAAAAAAAAAAAATCAATCCCTGCCTCAATGAGTTAATTGCTCAGATGAATTAAATTTACAACACGCACGACAGGTAACAAGAAATAAACACTGAAGTGTGGAGGGCAAAGCATTTCAAAGTTACAAAAGACTAAGCTGCCCGTGCCACCATCTCTCAAACTTTGTAAATGCCACTTTCAGTGACAATTTTGTTCCCTGGTCCATCGGTCTGTCCTTTTCTAGCCATTCCCAAAATTAAACTAATGGACAGGAGATCGCATTTGTGAACCATCTGCTTTTGATCCCAGTATTCCTCCTCTCCTGATAAGGCATCATGTTTCTGGCAGATCCACTCACACTCTTTTTGCCTGGATCACCTCACTCTTGCTGTGCACCTGCCAGCTCTTGCATCTGGTCTTCTGAACCATTTTCCCCCATGCCTTTCCTTCCACCTTCCCTGCTCCCACTGCCTGTTTCCTTTATTTCTCTAACCCATTCCACTGTCTTTCTCTCCCCCCAAGTCTAGCTTTTGCCTGCTGATGGAATTACACTCCAGCTGGCACCATGCACAATACTAGCACCAGCAAAGGCAGGTGCCATAGATCAGGATCATTTTCCCCCTTGCCACAAATTCATTCTCTCATATGTGGGAATTTCACAGATCTCAATTGCCCCAGTTTCTAAGTTTGGGCTGAAAACTCCCAGCCCACTCCCTATTTTTATTCAGCTTTATTTTCTGATACGTTTTTTAGAAGAAAGTTCAGTCAATGAAGACATCTACCTAGAAAATTTCAGTCCAAGCAATTAGCTCGCCAACGTTGCAATTGGAGCATAATGGAGAATAAAATGTTTATGACTCTTATAAGTGTTTCAGACTCTAACTTCTGCCTAGAACAAGTGTAATTTCTAAGGAAGGATTAAGGCTCTATTTGTGCTTTGCTCATGCACTTCACTACTCTTTCTGGAAACATACCCTATTGACCAATTACACTGTGTTCAACCACACAAGCAGCAATTAACTTACTCATCTGCCTCACCTGTCACACGTGTATTTAAAATTCTGTCTTAGCATCTCAGCATTTCTCAATCTCCTCAGCAAAAACCCAAAGCACTGATGTATTCTGAGGTGCGGCACATTTTTTTTTCTCTCTCTGTGTGTTGCACCAGTTTTACACCCCATTGAGTTTAAGAGAGCTGTACAGCAGGAAATTAGACCCTAAGTACATATAGAGCTTTAAATCCGATCCTAAAACACTGTAACACACTGCTCTGAGGCCCTCTAATGGAGACAATGGCAGCCACAATCAGCAAAATGAAATGGAATTAACACTTAACAAAGAAATTTCCACTGGAGGAGGCAGCTCAGGGAACACATACTCAATTAAGAGCAGACAGATAATTTTCTGTTGAAGTGACTTTTAGTTATTTATTTATTTGTTTATTCAGAGCAGAAGGTCATGAGGTTTTTAGTGAGAAGCAGGGGTGGGGAGTGAATGAAACCTGATTACTGGAAAGAGCACGGGTGAAACCTCCTGGAGACCTCTGCCTGCCCACCTTTGCTGGGGAGGTCATTTGTACTGGGGATGTCCCTGCTTCTCTGCTGTGCCTCTGAGGACAGTCTGTGGGCAGAGTTGATCCAGTGAGTGGCCATGGATACCTGGACATCTTCTCTGAAAATGGAACATGTTGCTAATACTGTCTAATATGACATGTAAGAAGCAGTGTACCCTCCTGTGTTGCTAACATACCCGTTTCACCCTGACTGGCTGTGGGGAATTGCTTTGGGCTACAGCTCCTCCTTCCTGTCTGGCAAATCCTAAGCCATCGTAATGCCAAGATGTTTTTGCTCACCAGCAGTTATTGTTAGGACTCTGCACTGAGTTCTTACCTGGCATTGTAAGGACAAGCTTAAGAAAAGTTTCAGAAATTGTGAAACACCTTTTTCTTCAGTCTGCTGGGGATACCTTTTACTTCTGTCTCAGCTGCCTCCTCCTTATCGTAAGTATCTAAAAGAAACAGGAGTTGTGGGAATTTGCTCAGGGTAATAGCAGGGAAAAGTAAAGATATTCTTCTCAATCACTGCACAAATATACTCACTCCAGATCCCATCAAGTTGTTTGAATACATTGGACATCCACACTGTAACAGCAGCCAAAGATATCTGTCATTTCTGACTCTTCCTGTAAGCTGAGGCCTTAGTCACAGAGCTGTGCCTTTTTTATTTAAACCTGCATTCCACATTCAGAAATAAAGAAGGAAACCATGTAAAGATTATTCCCATTTCATTAGCTAACGTGAACAAGCCAAGCAACCCATGCTAGCTCTCCAAGAAATGTAGTGGTTCCCAGGCCAGCCTTGCTACGTTTTCAAGGTCTTGGTACATCTTTAAAGCTTCTTGAGCTTTAAACAGGTGCAGGGCAGGTCATATATCAGATCATGAGTTTTTAGGAGCCATCCTGAAGAACATTTAGTAGAAGAGACCCGGGATGACACTATTTTACAGACTGGCACAGGTATTTTTGTGAGTACTTGCCATCTCCAAGGATGGGTGTGGTCTGGCCGCCATGTGGGGAAAAATATGGGTTTGTGTGGATGTTCCCCACTCTGCTGTCATCAAACGCTAAAACAACCCATTTAAAAGTGCTGAAGGAACTAGAAGGAAGTCCCTGGTGCATAGATCTATAGTTAGAAGGGCATTACTGGATGATGTGATCCTACTAGATTGCCGGGTTTATTTTTTTACAGCATTAGAGGACTCGTCAACCCTGAAGGGACTAAGGGAGGGAGGATGCAGAGGATGAAACCACCTGAATGTGCAGTATTGCAGGTTTAAAGCTCCAAGTCCCAGGGCTCAGCACACACAGCATCTATTTAACATCCTTACAGCTTCTGGGCTTCAGCCTGAGAATTGCTCCAGCTCCATGTGCCACAGAGCAACCCCTCTGCGCTTGCATTAGGCTTTTCTTAACATTCAGAGGGAAACAACAAAAGTTCCTTTCCTTTATAGCTCTTTCACTTTTCGCCTAATGAAGGTGGAATATAAAATGTTGAAGGAAAAAGCAGTTTTTCCCCTACAGTAGAATTTCCTTTTCAGTTATTTTTAATCTGACATCTGTTTTAACATGCACTCACAACGCTACATTTATTTTATTTTTTTTCCTCTCCCTTGTGTTTTATTATTTACCTCCTGTTCCAAAGAGATCACAAAAGATTACACTTCTGTGAAGCAATAACAGCAGTGGTGATGATCTCTCTTACTTCTCACAACTTCTCTTTTTACCCCTCTGTTTTTCCTTTATCTACATCTTCCCATCACCGCCCTCCCAGAGGCCTCATTACAGCTGCTATCAGATGGGGTGAAGGATTTCATGGGGGGTTTTTTTGAATTGGACAGATACATGCTAACTAGAACACAAAGCACTTCTTGTTCAGAGCCCAGATAGTTGTTCTCTGCTCTGTTTCAATTCATGCCTTTAAATAAGTCAGAGCAAGAAATCACGCTCTGGGTCAGCCGGTGCCTGTACTTTGAAGAAAGCCCCAGACTCTGCTGAAGGCAGCAGAAAGCAGCCAGTGCTGAGACGTGCCAGCCTTCAGCCAGACTTCTGACATGATGCTGGCTGAATGTTTCATTTCCCTTGGAAATGAAGATAACATCCTTAATCATCTTACATGTAATTAAATTAAATCATGGAGCATATGCATTCTTCAGCTTCTCCTAAGAAGCTGGTTGCTCAGGTCTGAGCATTAGGGTAGGGAAAAAAAAGAGTTCTCGATGGACCAGAAATCACTACAGAGAGTTTTAGCACCTTCCAGCCCCAGGCAACCTCTCAGGCAGTGAGAGCACAGGCTGGTTCATGCAGCTGGTAGGCTCATTGGTAAAGCTTTCCAGGCTCCTCCACTCTCTTGCTCTCCAGGCTGAGACAGACCCCTAACCCATGGGATTACCAAACCAGCCTTGACACTGGCTCAACCCAGATGTAGGAAGGGAACTGGCTGACTGGTTCACTTGTCTCACCTAGTAAATAGGTGAGAATTCATTTAAGCCTTTGAATAAAAACAGAGCACATGCTATTATTGAAATGAAAAAAAAAATCAGCTTATGATGCACTCCCTCATTTTTCCAGGCACTTTAAGGTTTGGTTTTATAGGACACTGCATTATATAGAGATGACACTGATCTCCACCAGCTGAGTATGCAAAGGGCCTGTTCAGCCACAAGAGATGACTGAGAGGGGATCTCAATAATGTCCATCAGTATCCCAAGGGAGAGTGTCAAGAGGATGGAGTCAGGCTCTGCTCAGTGGTGCCAAACAATAGGACAAGAGAAAATGGGCAGAAACTGATGCACAGGATTCCTGATGCAAAGGAAGTTCCACCTGAACATGAGGAAGAACTTCTTTCCTATGTGGGTGACCATGCACTGGAACAGACTGCCCAGAGAAGTCGTGGAATCTCCCTCACTGGAGATATTCAAGGACCATCTAGATGCAATCCTGGGCCATGTGCTCTGGGATGACCCCGCTTGAGTAGGAAGGTTGCACCAGATGACCCACTGTGGTCCCTTCCAACCTTATTCATCCTGTGATTCTGGGATTACTCTATTCCCCCCATACAGAAAGCAAGACTTGAAGAAAACAAGTGTAGTCAACTCCAGTATGGCTTCCTCAGTTTGTTAACATTCTTTAAAAAGCCCTTTGTTTTTATCTCAGCTAAAGAAGCAATTTTAGATTTATGCTTTTACAATTCAGTGTTTTCAAACACTCCCTGTGATCTGAAGAGATCTGAAACTTTTATGTCTCAAGGAAGCTTTGCTTTCAGACCATATTTTCTGCAATTTCCAAGAATTAGCAATCCACAAGATGTCCCCAGAGCTTAAAACAGAGACACTGAAAGTCACTAAACTCATTAGGAATGGCTAGGGCACCTTGTTGGTATGTCTTCATTGCATCAATGTTAAATTTCATTACAGGATATTAAACAAACTTTCTCTTGGTAAGTGATTACTGTAGGTCCTCATGGAGTGGGAAGGATCTGTCAAGTGCTTAAAAGAGAGGAAAGGTCTCTACGATAGATCTGGGTGGGATCTGATCATTTGCTCACTCTTGTTTTTAAGGAGTGGAAGGACTGCAAGCTTTCTTGATGCCCCTTTCTAAGTCTTAGAAAGGAACCTGGTTCCATCCTCTTGAAATCTTCCCTTCAGATACTGAAGTACAAGGAGGAGATCTCCTCTCAGTCATCTCTTCTTGAGGCTGGACAGGCCCTTTGCAAAGATGGAGACCAAAGCTGAAAGCTTTGATCGTGCTTAAAGGTGGAAATCATCATCATCATCTCTACACATTACAGTGCCTTAATTTAGCCCAATTCTGGTTTTCTGGGATTTGTAATAAAAACAGTCTAACGGTCATTTTATCGATGGTGTCTTTGCAAATTAAGAATACTCTTCTCTTTGGTTGCCCTGTTAAATAAGGACTGACCAGATGGACAATTTTCTTTCTCTCCTGGGCAGGTTACATCTAATTAAAAGCAGTTCTCTCCTTCTACTCCCTACCCCACATGATACATAACATCCAGCTATCAGCACTGGTAATTTCAGCAAAGCTCACCAAGATTTGGATAAAACTTGCTGTTGTTGTTTGTGGGGCTTTTCACCCCCAGAGAGGCAGGAAGCCAAAGTTCCAACTGAGCAAAATAAAATTAAAAGTAGATCAGGTTTTTTTGTCTCAGTGGCATGTGCTATGGTATATAATGTATGTTCCCTGCTTCACAAAGGAAATGAAAAAATGAACTTATATGACTGATGAAATAAAGATATCAAAGTATTACTTGTCCCAGCTGCTATGTGCACTTCACATATAATTACTATTTAATATCTTTGTTTCCTACAAACCAGGAAAAAAGCTTACCCTCACTCCCAATTCCCTCTCCTTGTAAATAAGCTGATGCAGAATATTCTAGATTTGCAGTTTCTACTTGACTTTCTTCTTGAATTTATTCTCTTCTTTTCAAAGTAATGCCGTCTACAAAATGAAGCTATTTAAAATCCTAAATGAATAAGTGTTATAAAAATAATAAATTAGTATACAAGACTGACTTGCACAAAACATATGTTATACTCTGAAATATATTTAGACGTTGAGTGCATAATTGCCTGTTCCTTTTCTAATGGCCTGAAGCACAGTGCTAAATCTGAACTTTTCCCAAAGTCTGTGCAGCAACGGAGCGCCGCCCCCTCCACAGCTCCCAGCTGAGCTCAGGCCCTCTGCCTTTCACGTGCTGCCTACAGGGCTGACAACCAGCTGCAGCTGCAGCAGCCCCGAGAAACCTCAGCTGACCATGGGAACTAAAGAGCAGCAAACGGTCATCAGGAAACATCTGGGAAAGAGGGAAGAGAGGGGCAGTGGAAGTGCCAGGCAGGCAAAGGGCAGCAAGCCTAGGAGACCCCACCGTGAGCGCTCCCAGCTCCCTGTGGGTGGGGATGCAGATCCTGCCACGCCCTTTGGGATGGGGGATTGGCCCCCAGGAACAGGGACCCTGCATTATGGGACCCATCCCTTCTCCAGGATGGGAGAGACCTTTGGGGTACAGGGCCCCCCAAAGACTGGGACCTGTGCGGGGCCTGAGCATCCCCCCATGGTCCCTGTGCCAGGGGACATGTGTGTCCCCTGCCCCAGCAGGGTCTGCACCCTGCTGACCCCGGGGAGGGGACAGGGACAGGGGATGGTGCTGAGTGCCACCTTCACCCTGAACTGCCCCCTCACTGGTCCACCCGGAGCAGGAGGCCCAGGGTTAGGGGTGTCCCTGGATGCAGGAGACCAGGGTTGGGGTTTGGGGACCTGGGACTGAGGACAAGAAACTGGGGACTTGGGGGACCAGGGACTGCGGACGAGGGGACAGGGATTGGGGAACTGGAACTGGGGACCAAGAACTGGACCCTGGGGATGCCGGCCTCTGACCTGAGCTCGGAACATGTTAGTCCCTGCACCCCCGTGTTTGGCTCTCTCACAGGCTCAGTACTGGCTTAAGCCCAGGGATGCTTGTGGCTCTGCCCAGCCTTCTTCCAAGCACAGCAGGGGCCCAGGAGCCCCACTCCAGCTCAGCTGGTCTCCAGCCCTGCCTGTGCAATGGACCTGTGCTGTTGGTTAAGTCTCCTGGATGGGCCCCTGGACATGCCTTGTTGTCTGTCTCCAGGCCAGTTTCCTGCTGCTCCTGAAGGGATCCTTGGCCCAGGTTCGAGCCCTCACATCGCTTAGGGCTGTCAACAGACCAATACTTGGCTGGTACCAGCAGCTTCTGTAGGAGGAGGAGTGAGAGACAAGGCTCTGGGTCATGTTGGGGGAACAGACACAGGCTGAATATAACTCACTTGTGTCACCAAGGAGTTAACAAAGACAACCAGTTGCTCTGAAACAATGAGCCTTCTGCTTACTCCTTGAAAAAAAACACTCCAAAACCAGAATCATCTTTATTTGGATGTGTTTACAGACTCTGTTACTTTTTTTCTTTTTTTCCAAAAAAGTATTATAGGTTTCAACAGAAAAAAATGTATAAAATTACTCTCCAAGCCAGCTTCTCCCAAAACACTGGTTGACCTGGAGTTGCACAGTATTTAACATCAGTGTGTTTATAATGTTCATGGAAAAGGGAAGCAGCTCTCTTTGACTTCTCAGGAAGCCAAACCTTTGAAGTGAAGTAACCAGCAACAGCCCAGGTGCACATCAGAACAAAGGGGGGCTGGTTCCACAGAATTCCTCCTGGGCAAGTTCACTAATCGACACAGTTTGTGTGGAAACAATAAGGTTGTTCCCAGAGGTGAGACTCACCTTACCTAGTGAGGTGGCAAAGCTGGACCTCTGTTAATCTTAAGGAACTACACAGAGTCCTTCACCTGGAAACTAAAGCATCTCCGAAAACAGTTTGCATCTTCTGTCTTCACCCTAAATGTCCAAAAGTCAACCAACAACAAAACAGGATACTTTGCAAGTAGTATGACTTTTTCATATGAGACTATGGAAACACACACCAACATTTGTACAGCTAAACAGCAGCAAAACCCAGTGTGTGGCTGCTGGGAGGGCACGGCAGAGGGTCAGCCTGGCAAGCACCTGGTGGGATCTGACCTCAAATAACAGGCTCTGCATTTCTTAAAGCTGAGCAGCAGAATCTTCCTCTCAGTATGCAAACAGGCACTGGATTTTTCCTTGAAGAGACTGACAGTGAACTCAGAAGGAAAATCCACGGCAAAAAGGGCCACTTTTCAGGAAAATAAACATGAAAGTAGTGTTACAGCTCAGCCTCATTTTCTGTGAAAAGACCTAAAGCAGAAAAAGACAGAGAGCCTCGGATGAACTACTTCCTGAGAAATTAAGGCCCATTTTTAGTACTGAGCATTGCATATAGGATTTTGTTTTCTCTATATGTTGTTTCTCTGATTTTTTTCCCTAATCAGCTTTCCTATCTGCCCAAGGTGGTTTGTAGCACACTAGTGATTCAGGTGGCATAACCAGATAAATAACCGAGTTATTTCTTTATAATAAATCTCTTTGTAATAAATGTACCTTGTAGCTTGATTTACAGCAAAATCCTCCTACTCTTACTTCCATGATGAGACCTACTTAAGTCAGTGAGACTAGTCATGACGATAAGATAATTAAGTTTTTAGTACAACTCTGGTTAGTGAGCAGAATGCAGTCCTGATATAATGAATCCACCAGCTCCAGTCTGATATTCAAAAGGTGTTGATGATTTCAGTATTATTCTTAATGTGCTCTGAGAAAAGTACATTTCTTTTTACCTTTAAGCATTAAACCCCATATAGGACACAATTCAATTCACCTTTTAAATTAAAGAATTGCTTTTAGACTGGCAAAGTTGAAGTTTAGCCAGCAGTGACACCTGCAAACTGACAGTCAAACCCCCCTACATTAAAATGGAAAGATTTGCATGAATGTGTTTTAAAATGACAGGAGACAGGAATGGGAGCTTCTAAGCAAGTTAGACTAAAATTTTAAGAGTGAAATGGCTAAAAATAGGCCCCTGAATGCATAGTTAGGCACCTATATAGAGACTGCTTGATTTTCAGTTGTTCTGATCACCCAGAGCTCCCATTAACTTCAGGAGCAACTGTGGATACTCAGCTGCTCTAGAAATCAAGCCACTTTTATTCAAGGGTCTAAATATGGATGTCTGTGCCCAAGTTTGAGGGGAAAAATACAAAAAATAAAAAAGAGGTGGGGTTTTTTGATACAGAAGACATTTTATAAAAGACAGTATTAGCCAAGTTTCATTCTTCTTTCCAGTTATAATGCTTGAAACTGAATCAACATAACAATTAATAGTGCAACACATTTGTGCCAGAAGATTTTGTCTGAGGTGAATGGAAATCTATTTCAAGATCAGTAGCTCTTAATTAGCAATCTGAAACATTCCATAGATACTTCATATTCTGTGACTGCAAAGTGTTACCAGGCCACCTAAATCTCTTTCATAGTATTTCAGTGTTGCCATTAATAAGCTTTTCAGCCTGGTCTGAGGAACTTTGGAAGATTAACTTTGCAAATCTGTAAGTATTAACTATTTAACTATTTCAGAAATACCATTTTTTTCTGCTTTTGGATCAAGTACAACCACCAGACTTGAGTATATTTTTAAATACTATAAAATATGAAGAAGGGAGAATTAGGCCTTTCATTCCATCATATGCACTTGGTTGTCAGAAGACTTCTCAATGCTGTTTGCTTAAAGACCTCTTTTGTAAAAGTAATCCTGAGCTGATTCTGTGCCTAAGCCATTGCCAGTTCATGCTGAAGTGGATAAGAGCCAGTCACATGATAGAAAATCTGCAAGAAAAAAAGGAAAATTTATGATGGAATTATATATGACTATAAAACTGAAAGTGTCAAGGAAGTAACAAATTAAAGGCATGCCAGATGAAGATGATAGATATTTGTTTGTGTATGTGCATAAAATATGATGTACTATACCTTTATATATTTGTTTGTAGAATATGAACTATAGCAGCTCTAGCTGCTGTATTTGGAAAAAAAAGGTAAAAAGAAAAGACTCTTATTGCTTTTCAAAAAGAGCCAGGTAGAACCCAATGCTTTTACCTGTCACCTGATTTTGGTGATTTCAGTGTTTGTTTTATTGAATATAATGATTGGGATGTTTTATCTTCCATGTTTTTAGATGGCATAGTATAGCAGAGCTTTGGTCACAACTGGGGCATTCATGCAATCCCTGGCATATAAAAGGATACAGCCCTTAAGAAATCAGAAGAAATCGTGTGACACAATCACTGGCTGTGTCCTAAGACTCAGCAGCAATGGCAGTGGCAACAAGAAAGCTCATGCTGCTTTGTCATAACCAGGAACGTAATTTTAGGTCAAGAGTGAGGCAGAGGAAGTCTGGCAATGAAGCAAGCCAATATTATCCTCATTGCAGGAGTGAGTTTTCAACAGTCATGAATATAACTGACATCTCTCAGATGTTCTATATTTCTAAAGGTGGGGAAAGGGAACAGACTGGTGCTTTTCTCCTCCTTCAAAACTCATGTTTTCCCGGCATCAACGGCACAAGGACTCTCAAACTTTTACTTGGTTAAAGCTGGTATCACCTTATCTCCTGGGTTCAGTGAACACAGGAGTGAAGTTCAGAAGCCTTAATGTTTTGGTAGTTCCTCCAACACTACACTGTTCCCAACTATGCTGCATCCTTCGGGGCTGATACCCTGTGCTAGTGATGTAGGTCAAGGGTAGATAGGTCAGAACTCCTCTTCCCATTGGCAACTTCTTTCTCAGGAAACAATCAACATGTAAAAGCTTCTCTATCAGTAGCATGTGGATGAGATGGAACTTTCTCCACAGCATGGAAATATATGGTGAACAGCTGTGGTACAGTGACATAAAAGGTCTGAGAGGTATTTTGAGGGTCAGCTGAACTGGCAACAGCTGGGAGTGCAAAAGACTCCATACATGTACAAACTGAAAGTCTTTGCTCACTGCATTGCAAACAGACAG